TATCTTCAAGTCATGTAAAATGAGGCTTTAGAAATGAATTTTCATTCACTTTTCACAACAACAACACTGACTAGGGACCAGTTGAAGGTAACATAAATTTACAATATACAGGGTGTCCATCAAGTCTCTTTGCAATTACAATACTATGTCTATGTAAAGTGTAAAGAAACTTTATGGACATCTGTATTGCCCAAAACACAAGTCCATCTATTCTGAATTTTTCATGATAATGCTACAATTTGACAGTTATTGGTAAATAATTTACACTGCGTGAAAAATGGAATTTCTAGACTAAGCACGTCTAGAAACTAAGTCTAAGCACGCCGGGTGCTTAGGCGTGACTAGTTTTGACACGTCTAGGTACGCGATGAAACCAACTCTAGGCACGTCTAAGCACACGCAGTGCAAAGACGTGCTTAAAGTGTGACAAAAAGTCTTGGCACGCCTTGAGACTAATGATTGAAATCTAGAATAAAGTAATTATCGAATCAGATGAATGTATATTGTTATAAGCAATTATGATCAGAAAGTATTTTGACCCACTTTTGAGATATGGTGTCCGAAATGTAGGTCAAAATAAAATGTTCTCCAAATTTAACATATGAGATATGAATCAAGGGTAGAATTTTCCCAGGAATCCGAATCTGCAAACCAAAATTCGATCGGACTTCTGGTTACGAAGTTATACCGTGTCCAAAAAGTAGGTCAAAATAAAAATTCGCTAAATTTAACGTATGTCTTATGAATTAGGGGTAAAATTTTCTCAGGAATCCGAATCTGCAAAACCAATTTCGATCTGACTTCCTGTTCAGAAGTTATGGCGTTTTGAAAGCTCAAAAATCGCTAAATTTGGTGCCTCATGTTATGGCAATGGGAAAAAAGATTTTTTTGAAGTGTAAAATACGAGATATAGACTGAGTACAGCTTTACATAATGAAAGCCTATAAAAGAAAGGGACCTCAAAAGCTATCTTGCTTCAAAATTTGGACACCAAAATGCCTAGGTCAAAATCTAGGTCAAATTTATAGTTTTTACTTATTTTTGCGATTCTGACACTACACTTCAATTATTTGCTTCAAAATTTTGTATACAGGTAGAAAAGAGTGTGCTAATAGTGTTAGCCTTTTGCCGTCAAAAAGTATTTTGACCCACTTTTGAGATATGGCGTCCTAAAAGTGGGTCAAAATAAAAAAATCTCCAAAGGACAAGGTGCAATTATTGGCAAATATCCCTATGGTCAAAATGAATCATTCGTAGGTGTAACATGAAGAATAAAATGTCATATAATACTTCGGAAAATATTAAAGTGCTCGGACACACATAAGCTGAGATAGGGATCATTTCGTTCAGTAAGGTTGTATTGACTTACATGGGGCTGTGCACCATTGACTTAACATGAGGATATCAGCAGATTCTAATAGAGGCCATTGGTTTCCATTGATTATCACAGAAATACCAAAAATACACTATGACCTGAATCGATTGCAAACTTAATAATTTCACAATATGACACAAATCGTTTATCTCATCAAATGTGCAAATATGAAGTTTGCAATCGATTCAGGTCATACTTAAAATTAAAAGATTGTACATTTTTTCATCATTTTTTCCCTACAAAATGGCTATAGAAAAATGCTCCAAAAACAACTTTTACACTTATCAAATATCATACAAGTTTGTAAAACCAAAGATTATACTATTATATTTCATTATGTAGTAACAAATTTGGATAAGATGCAGGGATGCGTAGGATGTAAATGGATTTTGACAGACACAAAAATACTTCCTGGTTTGGAATCTATGCCTCTACACTTCATGATTGAATTATGACCCTAATAAGTGGCCTATACATCAATACAGTGATGAATATAGGTCAACAAGATACTAGTGTGCATATAAATGTAATAATTGAAGCAGAATACTCATTTTGAAAAATCAGATGAATTATTTTTTTCCCATGGGGAGATCCCAATAGAGGGTGTATAAGGTCCTTTAATGTATAAGTTATGAAATAAGGGTAGAATTTTCCCAGGAATCTGAATCTGCAAACCAAATTTCAATCTGACTTCCAGTCAAAAATTCCTACTTCCCTACCTACCTACTCGGCTACCTACTTAGCTACCTACTTCTCAGCTACCTACTCAGCTACTTAAGTAAATCAATCTGGAGTCTTAAATTGAACTTTGTTCAATTTACCAATCTAGTTATTCATTCTTTCTTTCTTTCTTTCCGAACACTTTTTCTCAGCAACTAGAAGAACTTACTTTGGCCTACTTACATGGCTAACATAGCCCATCAACCTAGTTTCTGGGAAAATAGTCAATAGGTCAAGAACTAGGTCAAATTTAGGTCAAATCAACATTCTGTCAATTATCTTTGTTGTTACTTGTGGTAACTCCTTCATCTTTTTTTCAACATGTAGCTTAGAAAAAAACAAATCGAGAGTGTGCCATCCGTTTTTTTATTACTCTTAGCAATTTTGAGATATGGCGTCCGGAAAGTAGGTCAAACTAAAAAAGTTCTCCAAATTTAGCATATGAGCTATGAAATAAGGGAAGAATTTTCTCAGAAATCCGAATCTGCAAACCAAATTTCGATCCGACTTCCCGTTCGGAAGTTATGGCGATTTGAAAGCTCAAAAATTGCTAAATTTGGTGTCCCATGTTAAGTCAATGGGAAAAAAGACTTTTTTTAATTGTAAAATATGAGATATAGACAGAGTGCAGATTAACATAATGAATTCCTATAAAAGAAGGGTACCCAAAAGCTACCTAGCTTCAAAATTTGGACACCAAAATCCCAAGGTCAAAATCTAGGTCAAATTGATAGTTTTTCTTAATTTTTACGATTCTGACACTACACTTAAATGATTTGCTTCTAAATTTTGTATACAGGTAGCAAAGAGTGTGCTAATAATGTTAGCCTTTTGCCGTCAGAAAGTATTTTGACCCACTTTTGAAATATGGTGTCCGAAAAGTAGGTCAAAATAAAAAGTTTTCCAAATTTAACATATGAGCTATGAAATAAGGGTAGAATTTTCTCAGGAAACCGAATCTGCAAACCAAATTTTGATTTGACTTCCAGGTCGGAAGTTATGGCATTTTGAAAGCTCAAAAATTGCTAAATTTGGTGCCCAATGTTATATCAATAGGGAAAAATATATTTTTGAAGTGTAAAATACCAGGTATAGACTGAGTACAGCTCAACATAATGAAAGTCTATAAAAGAAGGGGACCTCAAAGGCTACCTAGCTTCAAAATGTGGACACCAAAATGTCAAGGTCAAAATCTAGGTCAAATTCATAGCTTTTCCTTATTTTTGCGATTCTGACATTACGCTTTAATAATTTGCTTCAAAATTTTGTATACAGGTAACAAAGAGTATGCTAATAGTGTTAGCCTTTTGCCGTCAGAAAGTATTTTGACCCACTTTTGAGATATGGTGTCCGAAAAGTAGGTCAAAATAAAAAGTTCTCCAAATTTAACGTATGAGTTATGAATTAAGGGTAGAATTTTCTAAGGAATCCAAATCTCCAAATCAACTTTCAATCCGACTCCCAGTTTAGATTCTATGCCATTTTAAAATTCACATTTGTTTAAAATTCACATTTGCCAGTATCCACAATGCAGATCCATCAAATGCTACCTACTTAGCTACCTACTTCTCAGCTACCTACTCAGCTACTTACTCAGCTACCTACTCAGCTACTTACTCAGCTACCTACTCAGCTACCTACTCAGCTACTTACTCAATTACTTAATCATCTACGTACTCAGCTTCCTACTCAGCTCTTTACTCAAGTAAATCAATCTGGAGTCTTAAATTGAACTTTGTTCAATTTACCAATCTAGTTATTATAGTTATACAAAGTAGTGCTTGCAACGGTAATGGATCTCCCTGCCAGTAAATTTCACCTCCATTACCTTACCGTTACCGATAATCGTTGATACTGATAATGTTCCTAAAATCCCGGGGAAAAACCTGAAAGTGAAACTAAAATATTTCGAAAAATCCTTAACGAAGCCGATTTCTCAGCTTTATTTCCCGCTCACATCAACTACAGTGGATATATTGTATCATCGTGTATCTCGTGTGTGATTGTGTATTGTTAGGAAGTCTTTGAATGATAATATAGAGTGAATTCGATCAAAATTGATCAAACTATTTGTTTTTGTTTTTACTTCACCGAAATATCACGTCACGTGATTTGTTAATCTCGCGGCATGGGAGATGATTGACAGAAGTGGGTGGGGTTTTGCTTATCCTCCCGCCTTTTACGAATCCTTTGCAGTTGATTGACAGATTAGCTCTTCTAATGTGGAGATTGAAATATACATGATTGATAAAATATTCTTAAACGAACATTGTTTCGTAAATTTGACAATGGATCGCAATGCCAATCATCATGTTGCAGCAGCATGGCGATTATCGGCAATGGATTTTATTACCGGCAATTGAGAGTATCTACTGCCGCTGCCGACAACCCGGCATTACCGTAAGGCACTAATACAAAGGAACATTTGGTTGATTTAACAAAAAGTATTCAAAAAAAAATTAAAACAGCAACCCCAAAAATAGATAAAAATTAAGATAAACCTTTTATTTCATTAACTTTCCTTTGTACAATTACAATATTGAGAGACCTACGTTGTGTTTATGTCATTTTGTTCCAATGAGGTTCGGATAGATGTTACATTTCATTCCTAACTTATGATACCAAGAACAAAACAAGTTTCTGATGTTTTTTCTAAAACAATATAGAGAAAAAAAATTTTTCTCAAATTATATTGTTAACATCATTAAATTGACGATATGTAAAGTTTTTAAAAAAAAATTATAACTGGTTTAAGAAAAACATGTGTTCAAAAGGTTCACCATATCGATACCAATCCTTTCCTAAAATTTCGATGACAAGAATCATGTGGCACACAGCCGACTAGCAGCACAAGATGATGGCAACAAAGCACTTTGAAAAAGCGTGATAAAAATAAGATACTTACCAGATAATTGTTTGCCATACGTTGAGCCTCAATTTCATTCTCCGGTTTCTGTAGCATGACATAGTCCTCTTCAAAAATGTCCTGTCCTCTTCTGCCTTGTTCGATACTACTGTATCTGTTACGCATTCCCGTGACAGCAGTCTTAGCATCATAGCTCCCTTCTAGGCTTTCTTCAGGGGGACCTGCAGAATATGGAACACATTAGTGATCTCCCCAGCATTAAAGCAAGTGAGCGCAGCACACACCTGAGATTTTGGGAATAGGCTTGCACCCACCTGAAAATCCATTTGCACCTACTTGAAAATGAGAAAAATTCTGAAAAATTGGGATATTTTGACCAATTTTGGTCTCAATAATGAAAATGAGAATTTAAAAATGAAAATTCTCATTTTCTTCATAATTTTGACTAATTTTAATTTTTAAGTGAATGCAAATGTCTATTTAAGTTGATGCAAATCTATTTCCTAAAATCTCATATGGCCATTATACATACCTGAGACAAACATAACATTCAGCGTATTTCATTTCATATCATTCTTACCTCTGAAATACTTCATGGTCAGAAGCTCCATTTGAGAATTTAAATAAAATGTTGAACTGGTTAGTTTTCATGTACCTTTCTCCTCTGCTTAAACAATATTGTTTCATAGCACTAATATAATATGTATTACTTCAAAAATCCAATCAATGGCTTCTTTGAAAATATTAACAAAAGAGTGACCACAATTATAGGCCATTCAAATTGTAATATAATTTGTTTAATCCCCATTATCAATGATTAAGTCAATTTTTCAAAAAACTTTAACAAAATTTAAATGCCCATATATATGTACTTGTAATGATATCAAACGACAACAGAAACTCTAAAATTGTGATCTTGTGTCACATAATAGTGAGATGAAATCTCAGATTGAAAACTGCTTGTATTTCAGCTTCAATAACTTCTTGATAAAAATGTTCACATGAATTGCTTGATTTGGATGTGTTGTGACTTGTTTTTAATTGTTTTCTACATCCCTCCTAAGAATTAGCCCTTCATCAGGATGTTAAACATATAATTAGCTTACATATTATTTGATGCTTAGTGGCCCATACACATTACAAAATTACATATATGTATATGGTTTATTGATGAATAAACAAACATGCAAACAAACTGTACATACCTATTAATAAAGGTTAATTTATTACAGGGGTGTTACAATTTCAGAGATGTAACTTTTTTGGGTTACATCACTGCGAGTGAAGCGAGCCTCAAAAAAGGGTACAGGGGTTCATTCCGGATATCTTTTAAAATCTACATTGTATATGGTGCATTCTAAGCATTTCAAACTGTTATTTGTTAATATTTTTTCAACAATTTTTTTTCCAGGCCCATCCTTATTTTCACATCCATCACATTTCCACAGGCCAAGCCAATTTTTAATGATAGTACTAATGTCTCTTGAGATAGATACCATGTATGTATAGATACTAAAAATCAGATTGTAGTGAATTTTACAACCCCCTCTCTTTGAGTTTCGCTCGCAGTAATGCAAACCCCAAAGAATCACATCCCCAAACTGGCTACGCCCCTTGACAAATATAAAGTAGTGCCATGAAAATGCAATGGTTAACCCAAACCCCCCAGCCAGAAATTCTTTTTGCATAAAAATAAAACCTGACTACGGGCACAGATCCGGAGCCAGATCCAGCCCCTATTGGAAGTAGGCTCAAAGAATAAATGGGAAGATAAGACACAAGCCAAAAACGCTACATAAAAAAAAGACCACCCAAAAATATGACCCTCGTACTGACCTTTATTTTTTCCATCTGTCAGACATTGATTGATCGATATTGACCCTGTGTCTCTTCTTTATGTATTAGTTTGAATGGTTGCATGATATCAATTATTGACGCTGTAAATCGAATTTTCCCGGTATATTTCTTTCAAATTTTCAGAGCGTAAAGATAATGAAGTGTTTCGGTAATTTCCGCCAATGTCCGATGTTGTTCACCTCTCAAATTACGTCACATTGCAACAAACAGCCAATGAAAGTAAATCTTGTGTAGCCTAACAAACCGTTGTTATTGTTTCTACAGGATTTTAGAGATACGTCATGTTTTTTTTCTGTAATCTCTGATGTGACGTCATCCGGAGTGGTGTCATATTCTCAGAAAAGACATTTGACTTTGGGAATAAACATTTGAACAACGGAAATAGCCGAAGCACTCCATTAAATATACACTCGCTTATTTTATGCTTTTATCAACAGACGCTTACTTTGATGTGTGGCTTAAAGGTTGAATAAATAGTGCAGAGACGTATCCAACGATCATGGTCCTGGTGTCAAAATATATCGAATTTTGAATATTTCATCAAGGCTAACATCTATTTTCATTAGCTACAAAGAAAACCCCCGAATGTACCTAATTTCTGCCGATATTCACAATCACTGGCATCCTAAATCCCCGGGAATCTTCTCCCGACATCGACAGAAAAAATGCTCACGTACCTTTTAATGATTTCCCGGTTATATTGTCATTGGATTCCAGCCCCGTTTTCACCTAACGTTCTATCCAACATTCTGTTTCCTTTATACCATGCGCGTGTCAAGAAGACCTTGAATATGGGCAGATTTGAGGTGTTTTAGTCTTAGATTTTTTTGATTTTTCTTCGTCAGTGGATCAAATTAACTGCAAGAGTCGCCGGAAATAGACCGTCAACGGCGGTCATATCGTGTACCATGCATACGGTTTTATCAGACAACCGCGGTTATACTGTAACATGCGGTCTTACCTATCTCAGCTGCAGCAAGAATTTTAAATGGCGGAGATTTAGAAATGTTTCAAAAAACAAAATGCGGGACGTCCAACCTTTCAATTGCTTATTTAGAAGTCTATTTGCAAGTCTGATTGGTGGTATTCGTCGAAAAGTGTATATATTTTAAGAAAATAGGTATGGCGAAGAAGACATTAGGCCAAAAGTTGCACTAATAGCTCGGGAAAGGTAAAATGACTCCCAAATTTCTTCAATAGTCTTTATTCCACCTTTAAGTGATTGGAGATGAAGCTAGCAACACGCATCGTTTTAGGTATGACATGTGATATTTATTGATAAACTGACTCCAAAATCAAGGAAATATAAATTTTCCGAAGATTTCGTGGCTTGTCCTTGAGTATATTTATTGAGCCTAGACACCACTGAAGAAGAGGTAATCTGGCAGAGGTCCGTGACTACATGTACGGGCAATAAGGCCATGCATGTGCAGTGTATTTTAACCATGTATGTCCTGTTATACATACTTTTCCTAAGAATATCAGCGGGTAGCCTAACAATCACATGATTAAAATTCATTCAATGATTCATTTTGATTTCTTGAAAAAAATTCAGTCAAATTAAATTTTAATTTTATATGTTTTGTTTGCGTACGATTTGGTTGACAAATATCTGAAATGGACACTGGTCTTGTGTTGACCCATTGACATAATCAAAACATCGAATTTTACAAAGAATAATCTGATATTTACCCAAAATAGGATCTTGTGGATTTGTTCGTGGGGCAGCCATATTCCTCAATTTGAATACGGAAGTAAACAATGCCTGACGGCAAACGAAACCATTCCTATTATTTCTGGACAACATGGATTAATAATAATGATGATTGATGAATATGCTTTTGAGCAAGGACGACCATGATACGGCTTATTTACATTAAACGAATGATATTCTGATACTCGTGATACTCATCACATATTTCAAATCGACCATTTCAAATACTTCCATTGCCTGTGCGCAAATGCCTCCTGAGCATTGGCGTGTAGGCCTAAGTTGTAGATATTGTAACGGAATTTTAAATGTAAAATTTTTGATTTTTGATTAAGTGCTGTGTTTTTGTACATTAGGTAATTATTACACTTGGAAAGTAATTTCCCATTGAGATTATTAAGATTTATAATTGTAGTATCATTTGCAGCACTTAAATTGTACTTACAGAGGTGAAATAGTTCGCATATTTTATCAAGATTTTGTTTATGTTGATCGGGCAGTTTTATCTGGCAGTCTAATTTGTAGTTGATCGGTAGTCTAACATGACACCTTTATTATTTTACTTCCTGCTTTTGATTCGATGGAATCGAAGTAAAATTAGACTAAATAGTGATTAATTACTGTTGTATTTCTTGAGTCAATATTATAATCTTGCTGTATGATCAATATTAAAGCGAAATATGGCGTAAGTAAGCTGTAATTCACAGTTGAAATCTTGTACGAAAATCGATGACGTCATCGGGCCTATATAACTATCTCGCTGTTGAAGGCTCGTCAGTGCGATGCCAGATGTTGTCGAGGAAGGACCTCCAGAGCGGAATTTCGGGAAACAGCTTAAATCTTCTAAGTTTTATAGAACTTAGTCGATTTTGTGGAGTTGAAGCTATACGTTTGCAGTATACACATAAAGATAGAAGCTGTACCTTAGTAGAATACATCTGTTGAGCCAAGCTATACGTTTGCAGTATACAAGGGCAGATTGAGGAAACTAAGTGTGCGAAACTTAGTTTATTTTGGAACTTGGATTTCTGGGAAACTTTGATGCAACTAAGTTTGTGAAACTTAGTTTATTTATCGCACTGGAAGTAAGGGAGATCTACAAGACTGGACAAAACTTCGACAGGGTGAAGCTATCCCCAGCGCAAAGCATTAGACGTATTGTCCAGCCTTCATAGACTGAGAGGAACTGCTGACATAACTTGTGTTTGAGAAACAAGCTATTTTGATCATCAAGGAACTTAGACATTTTACAACATTATTGGACTTAGTATTTGGTGAAACATTATTTTGGACTTTGTTGTTTTTGGAGAAAGAAATATTTAACTTAGAATATTTTAACATCAGTATAACTTAGTATGAAATTAACTTAGTCAATATTTGGTGAAATATTATTTTGGACTTAGTTGTTTTTTGGAAAGAGAAATATTGAACTTAGAATATTTTAATATCAGTATCACTTAACATTAAATTAACTTAGCCAATTTAAAAGGGCAAATATTTTCATTTGTTATATTTTTGCATATGTCGTTGTGTGCATGCTATATTTGTAGGTAGCCTTATTTAATTGTGAAGAAAGCAGGCTACATGGACTTAGCAGTTGATGCCATGTATTAGACGTCCTTGAACTTGGTAGTTTGAAGATTGTGATAGTTTGACTTATACATCTGGAGAGAAGAGGTTCTGGGACTTAGCAGTTTATTCAACGAGATATTTTGACTTTGATGATTTTGGGTCATTGAAGTTAGAATATACATCTACAGAGAGGACGTTCCAGGACTTAGCAGATTATCCAGCGAGATATTTTGACTTTGATGATTTTGGGTCATTGAAGTTAGAATATACATCTACATAGTAGAGGATCCAGGACTTAGGAGTTTACATAACTGATAGTTTGACTTAGATTATTTCACATAATCAAAGTTGAATTATACTACAACACATTGAGGAGGATCCAGGACTTAGGAGTTTACACAACTGATAGTTTGACTTAGATTATTTCACATAATCAAAGTTGAATTATAATACAACACAGTGAAGAGGATCCAGGAGATAGCCGTTTACAGAGCCGATAATTTAACTTAGATTATTTTACATAATCAAAGTTGAATTATACTACAACCCAGAGAGGAGGATCCAGGAGATAGCCATTTACCGAGCCGATAGTTGACTTGATGATTTCACATTATCAAAGCTGAATTATACTACAATACAGTGAAGAGGATCCAGGAGATTTACGTTTACGGAGCAATAGTGTGACTTAGATGATTTCACATCATCAAATTTGAATCATACTACACTACATAGAGGAGGATCCAGGAGATTACTATTTCAGGTTCAAGTTACAAGTACAATACAAGACGTACAAGTATTACAACATATATGAACTTTTAATATTGGAGATACAACAGTGGTATATAGTGATCATCTACTTTAGTTTATATGGACTCTGGATATTGTGTTCTTAGTGATTATTATTAGCTTATACGGACTCTAGATATTGCTTTATTAGTGATAAATATTAGCTTATATGGACTTTTGAGTTGTGAGTTTTGAGAGAGAGAATAATATCGTAGCATTTTAACCTTCATACTTGACATTTAATGTACATCTTTATTTGGGCTTATAAACGCCACAATATACTGTTTTATATTTATATTTAATTGTATATGTCTGTTTAATTCTTTAGGGACAATCGCACATTTAACGTGTGCCGTGTAACTCACCAAGTAAACACCGTTTACTAAACAGTGGGCCTATTAGCCACGCTACCACGTATATCCACAAAAATAGGTCAAACTGTTACAATATGTTTAATTCTAAATGGGTGTTAGGCAAGGGAATGTTTAAATATTTTGAATGTCAAAGACTTGTAGAAAGATGTACAACAAGTAAGACTTACATTAATAACATGATAACAAAAGTCAAATCCAGGATTAAACAGAGCAATAGTCAATCTTTTGTAATTTCTACAGAGTGTTTCATAATGACCGTCCCCCCATCAACCACCAGTCCTGAATAGCATACCCCCATGTGTTATATATCATATAAAGGTTGGTCAATTCTGGACTTATTGAATCAACTTTGATTAAGCTTAACATTTTTTACAACTTGCTACATATCTCTATAAAGATTAGAGGTACCCATTTTAAATACTCTAGCATAGAATCTGAAAGCCACATTTTTTCCAAAATTAGCCATGTAGGCCTACCCTGCAAACAGCTATGTAATGATAACCATGCCTCAATCATAGCCGTAGCCAGCGGGGGTTCGGTGGGTTCGAACGAAGCCCCGGTCAGGATTTCCCAAAATATCATTTTGCGAAAAAATGCATAGGCTATAACCAGAATCATTGAATTACTGTGCTATTTGAAAACTACATTATATGAGCAGTAAATGAATTGATATTTGTTATGGTGAACACGAGAGCATTATTTTCTTAAAAACATGTCATAGTGAAGTTACACTTCCCTCAAAACGTTTAGCATGCTTCATCTCGGACAAAAAAACATCTTTGGCAATGGCTAAATCAGTCCTTTGTAGGAATTTTGTTTTAAGCCAGTTCTGGTCCAATACGAAGTTATTGAAAGTTATTGAAAACAATGCAGACGTCCCATACTCCGAATGATTTTTACAACATTGGCGAATAAATATTTAAAAATTTAAAATATTTCTTCGGGCGTCCCTGGGGCTGGCAAGTCCCCGAAACCAATTAATAATTAAAAACGTTGTGAAATGAATTATTTAAAAGCGTATATCATTTATAAACACAAGCATTTGTTCAAATTCATTCATTCTTTCATTTGTTCAGTATTTATTTACCAATCACTTTCCAAAGAAAAATCTATCATTGCAAAAATGATTTTTTTTTTCAGATACACTCCACTCATCTAAGAGATTGTATAGAATTCAAATTGTTATCGTTCCAGTTTACTTGCTCTCCATTTTCTATTTCAACAAGTTAAATCTAGTCTGGGCCTTATTTCTTATCTGACATATCTTGTGGCCCGTCCTAGGTTTAACGTCCGTGCCTATTCGGCCCTTGATGCAAAAATTTTAATAGTGGCCTATGGTAGCGCATGGAATTCCATGCGCGTTTAATTAATAACTGATAGTGTGAATTTGCAATGAATGAAAGTATAGCACGGAAGTTGAACCCAACCACGGCAACAATAACATTCAGATTAATAAATGAAAGCCGTGGTATTGGGTTTGACTTGTTGAACTATCCATTTTCATGTTAATGTCATGATTTGTTTAGCGAATAAATAATATAATAAAAAAAAAACATTGAAAAATTAAATGGTATTAATCTTCAAATAATGAAGGCCTAATTTGTTATTAAGCCGTCTGAACTTAACAAAATAACAGTCGCTTGTATTTATATATAATTTTATCCACTAAAACGTTTTTATTATCAATTGCGGTTGATCTGCTCTGGGGGACTTACCACTGAGCTCCGATGACGTCCAAAGAAATATTTTTAACTTTTTAAAACAAAGCATAACCGAGACCCACTTATTTGAATAATAGATATTTTCATCAGTAATACGACTATCCCGGATAGTTTATAAAGCCTTTGTGTAAACGTTGTGAAAAGTTATCATAGAGGAACGATCTTTCGGAGTATAGGGTGTTTGCGTCAATTTCAATAACCTAACTTGCATTTGATCCGAACTGGCTTCCAACAAATTTCCTGAAAAATAATGATAAGCCATTGCATGAGGTGATTTATTTTGTCCTAGATGAAGTAGCTTAAGTTAAAGAATAAACTGTGCGAAATAGTTTATATTCCTTGGAAACAAATCATGCTCCAGGGTCTTCCAGAAATCAGTCGAAATAATGGTGGATTCGGGGCAAATCAGATTTCAGGATATGTATTCAGTAAAAGATTCACTGAAGTATATTTTGATGCAGAAAATTAATTATAAGTTGTCTGACTTTTTTGCACGTTGCCTGTTTATTTTACTTTGTGAACATTAAAGTTGCAAAGCTACAAGGTCATTTTTGAAAATCATTTTTACGTCCAG